CCTGCCCGGCCTCCAGGTAATTGGTGCAGCCCCATTCCCCCCAGCTCAGCGCCCGATCCCGCTGTGCTTCATCCCGCCCCACGGCGCCTCGACGAAGGTCGGTTGCGAGCAGTTGACCCCACACGATCCCCGCCCGCAGTTGATTGGCAACCCGCGCCGTGCGAGCCAGGTCGGCACTCATCACCGCGGCTGCCAAACCGAAGCGGCTGGCATTGGCCATCTGCAGGGCCTGCTCTTCAGTCTTGAACCGCTTGACGCACAGCACCGGCCCAAACACTTCTTCGCGCCAGAGGATGCTGTTGAGCGCCGGCTCGTCAAAGATTGCAGGCTCGATGAAATACCCACGCTCCAGGTGCGCCGGGCGCCGGCCTCCGGTCAGCAGGCGGGCGCCGCTGGCCAGGCCCTGGTCGATAAACCCCAGGACCTTTTCATGCTGCCCCTGGCTGACCAGCGGCCCCAGCAATACGCCCGGCTCCATGCCCGAACCGATGGTGATCTTGCGGGTTTCTTCCACCAGCCGTTCGATCAGGTGCGGGGCGATGGTTTCCTGCACCAGCAAGCGTGAAGTGGCGCTGCACACCTGGCCCTGGTTCCAGAAAATCCCGAACAGAATCCATTCCACGGCGGCTTCAACATCGGCATCGTCGAACACAATGAACGCCGATTTACCGCCCAGTTCCAGGCTGATGTTCTTGATGTCGCGGGCCGCCGCCGCCATGATTTTTGCCCCGGTGGGCACGCTGCCGGTGAAGGCCAGTTTGTCGACGCCGGGTGTTCGGTCAGGGGCTGCCGGCGTCCTGGCCCAGGCCGGTGACCACGTTCAACACCCCGGCGGGCAGGCCGATACGGTCGGCGGCTGCGGCCAATTCCAGGGCGGTCAGGGGCGTCAGCTCAGAAGGTTTCAACACGACGGTGGCACCGGCCGCCAGGGCCGGCGCGACCTTCCACGTGGCCATCAGCAGTGGGTAGTTCCAGGGAATGATTTGCCCGGCCACGCCAATCGCCTCGTGGCGAATACGGCAACGAAAACGCGCGTCAGGCAGCGCCAGTGGCTGGTCCTGGCGCTGGTCCAGCTCCCGCGCCAGGCCGGCGTAATAGCGAAAGCAGCCAATCGCATCGCCCACGTCCCATTGGGCTTCGGGCAAGGGCTTGCCGTTGTCGCGCACTTCCAGTTCCGCCAACGCCGGCTGCGCGTGTTCCAGCTCATCCGCCAGGGCGTCGAGCCACTGGCCGCGCTCGGCGCCGCTGGTCTGGCTCCAGCCATTGTCGAAGGCGCGGCGGGCGGCGCGCACGGCGTGGTCGATGTCTTCTTCGGTGCTGGCGGCCACGCGTGCGAAGGCCTGCTCGGTGGCCGGGTCGATCACGTCGAGGTAGCCGCCCAGGTCCGGGCTGACCCACTCGCCGTTGATATAAAGTTGATCACGCATGGTGAGGCTCCTGGACACGGCGGTTTTGCAGGTGGCGAGACGTAAACAGCAAGGCCAGCGACAGGCAGATGATCACTGTCGAGACTGCATTGATCTCCGGTGTGACCCCACGCCGGATCGAGGAAAAGATGTAGATCGGCAAGGTGGTCTCCGAGCCTGCGACGAAGAACGCGATGATGAAATCGTCGAAGCTGAAGGTGAACGCCAGCAGGAAGCCCGCCATGATTGCCGGGCTGATCTGGGGCAGGGTCACCCGCCAGAAGGTCTGCATCGGCGGTGCATACAGGTCGGCGGAGGCTTCCAGCAGCGCCTTGTCCAGGGTGTCGACGCGACTGCGCACGATCACCATCACCAGCGCCATGGTGAACAGCGAGTGGGCGGCGATCACCGTGAAGAAGCCCATGTTCAAACGCGGCACGCTGGGCATCCAGCTCGCCAGCAGCGGGTTGATCACATCGAAGAGGCTGATGAAGGCGATCAGTGTCGAGATACCGATGACGATGCCGGGCACGATGATTGCGCAGTAGGTCAGGGCGTCAAACAGCAGCCGCACCCTGGCCCCGGCACGCTGCAAGCCGAACACCGCCAGGGTGCCGAACAGCGTGGCGATCAACGCCGAGCACGTGGCGATAAATGCACTGTGCCCGAGGGCTTCCATGATGAACGGGTTGCCAAAGGCCCGGCCGAACCACTGCACCGAGCAGCACTCGAACGCCAGGCCACTGCGCCCGGCATTGAAGCTGAACAGCACGATCAAGGCGATTGGCGCATACAGAAACAGGTACAGCGAAGTCGAATAGCTGCGCAGCCACATGTCACAAGCCTCCGTCGGCAGGGCGGCCGCCGTAGCGTGCCACCAGCTTCAAATACACGCCGATGATCAGCAGCATCATCGCCACCAGGGTCATCGCGAGCGCACTGCCGAACGGCCAGTTACGCGATTGCAGGAACAGGTCCACCAGGGCATTGCCGACAAAAACACCTTGCCGCCGCCGAGGATGGCCGGGATCAGGAACTCGCCCATCAACAGGATGAACACCAGCATTACCCCGGTGATGATTCCCGGCGCGGACAGCGGCAGGGTGATCCGGCGAAAGCTTTCAAAGGCGCTGGCGCCCAGGTCTGCCGAGGCTTCCAGCAGGCGTTTGTCGAGTTTTTCCAGGCTGACGTAGATCGGGAACACCATCAGCGGCAGGTAGCCGTAGACGATCCCGATCAGCACCGCCCAGGGCGTGTTGATCAGCCGCACATCTTCCAGGCCCAGGCTCGCCAGCAGGGCCGGGATGCCCTTGCCGCTGAGGAGGAAGATCCAGGCGTAGGTGCGGATCAGGAAGCTGGTCCAGAACGGCACGATCACCAGGGTCAGCAGCAACGAGCGGTTCTTGCTGACCTTGACCGCCAGGAAGTACGCCAGCGGATAGGCCGCCACCAGGCACACCAGCGTACCCAGTGGCGCCAGCATCAGCGTGTTGCCGAAGGCCGCGGCCCGTGAACCGAGGTTCAGGTAGTTGGCCAGGGTGAAGCCACCCGCGTAGCCGCCTACGGCACTGCGGTCGCCGAAGCTGAAGACCAGAATGATCACCAGCGGCATCAACAACAGCAGCAGGAACCACAGGGTCGACGGCAACAGCATCAGCAGGGGTGATACGCCGCCCGAGGTTGCGCCGCTGGCGGGCGGCAAGGGCAGGGCGGTCACCGTGGAAGGGTGAGTGGCGGCGTTCATGGGGGACTCCTCAGTGGCCATGGCTGGGTGATCAGGCGGACTTGAATCGCGCCATCAACTCGGCCCGGGCCGGGCTGGTCAGCGTCGCCGCCGCGCCAAATTCCAGCGGGCTCAACGCCTCGGCGGCCGGGTACATGATCGGATCGTCGAGCATCGCCACCGGCAACAACGCGTCCACTCGCTTGTCACCGCTCGGGTAGCCATGGCTCAACACTTCCAGCTTGTTGTGTTGCGGGTCCAGCAGGTAGTTGATGAAGGCGTAAGCCGCGTCCTTGTGCTCCGAGCTCTTGGGGATCGCGAAGAAGTCGCTCCACAATTCGCCGCCTTCCTTGCCCAACTCAAAGTGCATCTGCGGCAGGTCGCGGTGCAACTGCGAGGCGTCGCCGGTCCAGGACATCGCCAGCCAGGCATCACCGCTGCGCATCGAGGGCTGGATGTCGGAGTTGATCGCGAACAAATGCGGCTTGACCTGGATCAGCAGTTTTTCAGCATCGGCCAGCTCTTTGGGATCCAGCGAGTTGAAGCTGTAGCCGAAGCTCTTCAGGGCGTTGCCGATGGCGGTCAACTGGTAGTCGTGGACCATCGCGCGCCCACTGGCCGGGCCCTGGGCCATGTCCCAGAATTGCTTCCAGCTGGTGGGGCCGTTCTTGAGCTTTTCGGTGTCGTAGCACATGCCGGTAGTGCCCCAGTTTTTCGGCACCGCATACACCTTGCCGTCCACCGTGCCCTGGGCGATGAATTTCTGCTGGAAGTCCGAGGCATCGAAATTGGGGATGCGCGACAGGTCCAGCGGTTCGATCAAACCCAGGCCCACATAGGTGCTGATGGTGTAGTTGGTGGGCACCAGCACGTCCCAGCCGCTGCCGCCGGCCTGCAGTTTGGCGAGCATTTCCTCGTTGGAGCCGAACACACTCATGGACACCCGTGCGCCGGTGGCCTTGGCGAAATTGTCGAGGTTTTCCTGGCTGTGGTAATTGGGCCAGGTGGCCAGGGACAGGCGATCACCGAGCTTGGCCTGTTCGGCGGCCTCGGCGGTGGAGGTCAGCAGCCCCGGCATGTTCGTGGCGACCACGGCGGCGGCCAGCCCCAGCCCGGTACGGCCAAGGAACTCACGACGGCTGATGGAACCGTTCTGCCAGCTGCGCAGGGTTTTGAGAAAGGTCTTCTGGTCCATGACACGCTCCACATTCGTTGGATAAAAGGTGATTTACAACGCCATGGCCAACCCATTGGCGTGATCCCAGCCGACGCTGACCGCTGCGCCGTGTTCGAACGCCTGCGGGCCTTGATCCTGCTGGCGTGGCACTCGCACGCAGACCACGCCAAAGGCTTGGGTGCGCACGCGGTATTCGGTGGAATTGCCCAGGTAGATGCGGTCTTCGACGCAACCCGGCAGTGTGACTTCCCGGGCCAAATCGGCGCTGGCACCGGCAATGCTGATCAGCTCCGGGCGCACCGCGATGCAGCCTTCGGCGTCCGCATTCAGGCTTTTGCCGGTAGGGGTGAGCGGGCTGGTCAGCTCCAGGCCCTGGGCGGTGCGCAACACCACCGAGTTGCCCTGCAGGCGGCGCACCGTGCCGTTGAACAGGTTGGACTCGCCGATAAAGTCGGCGACGTAACGGCTGGCCGGCGTCTCGTAGAGTTGTTCCGGGGTGGCGGTCTGGATGATCGAACCGTTGTGCATCACGCTGATGCTGTCGCTCATCGACAACGCTTCTTCCTGGTCATGGGTCACCAGCACGAAGGTGATGCCGACTTCACGCTGCAAGCGCAGCAGTTCCGATTGCATCTCCTTGCGCAGCTTGCGGTCCAGGGCGGCCAGGGGCTCATCCAGCAGCAACACCGTAGGCTTGTTCACCAGCGCCCGGGCCAGGGCCACACGCTGCTGCTGGCCGCCGGACAGTTCGCTGGGCTTGCGCTGGCCGAAGCCGCTCAGGCGCACCATCTCCAGGGCTTCATCGGCCATGCGTGCCTGGGTTTTCTTGTCGGGGCGCGGGGTGCGATAGCGCAGGCCATAGGCAATGTTCTGCGCCACGCTGAGGTGCGGGAACAGCGCGTAATGCTGGAACACCATGTTCACCGGGCGCTCGAAGGCGGGCACCCCGGCGACGTTTTTGCCGGCCAGGCGCACCTCGCCGCTGGTGGGCTGCTCGAAGCCGGCGATCATGCGCAGGGTGGTGGTCTTGCCGCAGCCCGAGCCGCCGAGGAAGGAGTGAAACGAGCCACGCCGCACCGAGAAATCCAGGCCATTGACGGCCTGCACCTCGCCGTAGCGTTTAACCACGTTGCAGAATTCGATGTCGCTTGGCGAAGTGTCGTTCACGGTCCGGCTTCCTCGATGTGCAGTGATGACTCATTGCGTCGAGGGCCAAACTAGCAATCGGGGTTTTACGCTGTATATATCCCTTGGGGGATAGAGTCGCTTTCAGGCATCAGGCCACGGCCACCAGTTCCTGGCCGGTGAGGTCGCGGATAAACAGGCCAAGCAGTTCCGACTGGCTGCCGATGCCGAGCTTGGCGTAGATGTTCTTGCGGTGAATCTTCACCGTGCCCGGGCTGATGCTCAGCTGCTCCGCCACCGAGGCGCTGGAGTGCCCGCGCAACAACAGTTGCACGATCTCCCGTTCGCGCCCGGTGAGGATGTGGGCGCCGAACTGATCGAAGGCTTCGCGGATCTTGAAGTCCAGGTCCTGGGCCGGTCGCGGCTGTTGCGCCTGGCGCAGGCGCCAGGCCTCGTTGATCACCTGTTCCACCACCGCCTGGGCGCATTCGATCAACTGCATCTCGTCGCGACTGAACGCGCAACTGGCGGTGGAACGCATCAGCGACAACACCGCCGTGGCGCCGCCGCCGAGGTCGACAAAAAACGCCACTTCTTCTGCCAGCCCGGTTTGCTGGTAATAGGTCAGGTAATACTCGCCGAGGTAGAAGTGGTCCGGCGCAAACTGCCGCAACCGCCACAGCCCCGGCGCCTGCCCGCGGGTGCAGGCGAGGTAGAACGGGTCCAGCAGGTACGGGCCGCACTGGTAGTCATCGACATACACCCCGCGCTTGTCGGCGCAGAAGGTATCGAACATCGCCAGTGGCCGGTGATTGCCTTCGTAGACAAACAGAACGAAATGATCCACCGGGCAGATCTGCCGCAACCAGTGGCTCAGGCCCGAGAGCCGAGGGTGGCCGGCGGGCAGGTCCAGCAGGTGGGCGACACCGGAGGTCCAGAGTTTCAGTTCCTTGGGGCGCATGGGGAATTCAGGTGGTAGGGGAGTGGCGACAGATGCACGAATTGCGCCATGGGGTGCAGGGGCCGCGGGGGCGGGAGGAAGCGGGGCCCCGTTGCGGTGAAGGTGCACTGCAATGGGGCCGGGTGTTACCGAGTGCTACATTTTTGTTTCTGACTGGCCACGATCAAGGCTGGAACTGCGCCTGTTGCCAGCCACACATCATTGACACTCAGGAGCCCTGCAATCTCGGCGATACGTCGCTTGGGGACGCCGCGCATAAACCAATTATTCAGGCACTGGGGGCTGACGTTTAGAAACTCGGAAAACGCCATCGGGGAAATGCTGCATTCGTGGAGCAGCGTTCGCAGGCGCTCACCTGATTGTCTGTCGACTGATTTAGGGTGGGTTTTCTGGTTCATGACGTCCTGTGTCATGCGTCCTCCTTTCGCCGTTGGTGTGGGGGTTGCAGCGCACGGCGTAGCGATCTGCTGGTGTCGTGTATTGGTTCCGTACAGCGGCGTTATGGGCACCGTGTTGTAGGGAATAGCGCATTTTTTAGGTGCTGGCTCGTTAATAGATGGGGAGTGGCGTTTTTAAGGAAGGTCTGTCGGAAATTGCGTTTTGTCTTGTAGGACGGGTTGCCCCCAGCGAGAGGTCATGGGGGGATACGCGGTGTTACAGGACTATTGGTCATTGTTGTGTTCCTTCATCAGTCCATTCAAGGGCCATATTTTCCAAGGTCATTCCCTGTTGCAAGGTGACGTAGCCTTCGCCATCGGTAATGCCTTCAAACCGCACTCCGTCTTTGCGGACCAGCGCATAGGCGCGGTTGCGTATAAGCAGCCCGTTGCCAAGACGAGGTTGAAATCGCTCATTGAACGATGTGGAGGGCCAGCTATTGAACGCTGCCGCCGCGCTACTCGGCCCGACGTAGCTCTTTTTGCCGGCTTTTACCGTGAAGGTCCCCGGCATTCCCATCTCAATATTGCCGCCCTCCATCTTGATATATGCACCACCGCACAGCAGCGTGATGTGCTTGTTGGCAGATACCAGCACATGCTCCTGGCTGGCGCTGATCTCCACGCTTTGGTCCGCCTCTGCGTGAATACTGTTGTGCTGGGCTTGCAGCAACAGCTGGCCGTTATGCGCGATGTGGCGCATGTCACCGCCCTGGGCAAACAGCCCCAGCTCGTCACCCGCATTGATCACCACTTTTTGCCCGGCAGTGAGTTGCTGGTTTTTTTGCGCCACGCTGTCGATATGCCCGCCCGCCGCGAAGGCAATACTGCGCGGGGTGGAGGCGGCGATTCCGGCGGGGCCACTCAGGGCGATAACCGGTTGGGCACCGTCGCCCGGGGCGTTGGCTTGATCATTGGCACCATGGCCCAACTCATTTACAGCGTCGGTTAACGTCTGTTGGGGTTGCGGGTCTTGAACGATGCCTTTTGCATCTTCGGCGGCAGTCCCCAGTTGTTTTGCCAGCGCCAGTGCGGCTTGCAAGACTTCGACGATTTGTTGGCGTTCCAACTGGCCCGCACCGGTTTTCAACTGCGCTTCAGCGGTTAACAGCAAACCTTTTGCCGCCCGTAAGGCGCCGTGGGCATCCGTGCGTAGTTCAAAACCTTCGCCTCTTGGCTTCCCGTCGCAGGGTCGTGGATGAGTGAGGTAGCCCAAGTGCAAGGCGCTGTGGTCGTGACCGCTCATAAGCGCGGCGCTGATTTGGGCGGTGGTGTCGTCAATGCGTAACTCGTTGGCCCGCTCGCCTTTGTGTTCCTTGCTTTTGATCGTCGCCAGGCTCTTCAGTTTTGGCAGTTCATAAGGCGGCAGATTGTCCGCACGGTAGGTGCGCCCGGTGGCGATGGGCTGATCAGCGTCGCCGTCCAGGTAGCTGATGATCAACTCCTGGCCAATACGCGGAATGGCCATCGCGCCCCACATCGTCCCGGCCCAGCCTTGGGCAACGCGCACCCAGCAGGAACTGTGTTCGTTGGCCTGGCTGTCGCGGTCCCACGGGAAGCTGACCTTGACCCGGCCCCATTCATCGCAATAGATCTCTTCTTCTGGGGGGCCGACAACGGTGGCTATTTGCGGTCCGTCAATTCGAGGCTTGGGGAGCAGCGGTGCCTTCCAGTCAACCTGCCAATGCACCGCCGTTGCTTCGAGGTGGTACGACGTACCGCGCTCGCTACTGAAGGCTTCCTCTTGCTGACTGCTGTGTTGTTTGCCGGTGTGCTGGATGGCCACGGTGCGCCAACGGGAGTTGAGGTCTGCTCGTGGATGTTCCTGAAGGTCAAACGCCCGGCCCGGTTGCAGACGGGCGTCGTCGCCCTCGATGGTGGCCACGCAGGCGTCACTGCGCAGGGCAGACAGTCGGGTTTTGGTGAAGGGTTTTCCAGCGGCATCACGCTTGTAGCGACCGGGATATTCGTAACGTTCGTAGTCGTCCCGCTGGTTGTCCAGTTGCCGTCCGGCGACAGCGTGCTGCAAGTTGTAACGTGGGTGGGTAAAGGTGTAGTCCCGTTGCACCTGGCGGGCTGTGCGCACTTGCTCGGTGTAGTTAAAACGATGCAGCGCAGGTTCCGGTGAGTCGCCACCGCCTGCAGGCTGATAGGGCACCGCACATTCCTCGTGCGTGCCGATGGTGCCGAGTCCGTCGATCTGGTCGGTGAGGATCAGCGTGTGGCCGTCGTTGCGGTGTTCGAAGGCGTAGAGGATGCCTTCTTCAGCGGATAACCGATGAATGAAATCCAGGTCGGTTTCTCCCGCCTGGACGCAGTATTCACGTGGACGGTGATCAAGGTGGGTGTTGCTTTCAATATCGGTGATGCCTTGGGCCTCGATGACGGTTTTCAGGATCTCGGGCACGCTTTGTTGTTGGAAGATTCGCCAGTTCGAACGAAGTCGGGCGCGAGCCAGGATCGGTTCGACTTCTGCGTAGTAGCGGGTACGGCGAAAGCCGGTATCGCCTTGCTGGAACAGGCTGACCAGACCATGGACATAACGTACGGCGCTCTCTGCGCGCCAGATGGTGAACAGCGCCGGCACATCGAGCACGGCGCCAAAGTCGATGGCGGCATCGGCGCTGGATAGGTGCAGCTCCAGCTTGAATGGCTGGGACAAACCTTCCTCAAGCTTGAACTCGATAACGTCGAATACCGCGCCACCTTGAGGTTCGAAGGTAAATCGCAAATCGCTTTGCCTGGGCATAGGCACTCCTTGTTTTAATCGATCAACTGGTTGTCATCACCGTGTCCGGTGGCATTGGCCACTTCACGGCGTGCCCTCTGCTACCAGCCCTCGGGCTTCCGGGGAATAGAAGGGATCGGGTTTGGGTGGCGGGACGGCGCCGAAGCGGATTCGAACGGTTTTGAGGATGGCGTCCCAGACGGCCATGGCTTCGTAGTCGGTCAGGGATGGATTCACGGGGTCAGGTTCTTCGGGCTGTTGCCAGAGCGGCAGGTCGTAACCTTTGCGGGCGAAGCTGGGGAGGGTCCAGCGAACGAGATCTTCCGGCTCGTCGGGATCAATAGCTTCGTTTTTCATACCGCCGGCACTGAGGCGAAAGGTCAGGAAGGGACGACTTAGAGAAGGGTTATCTCGAAAAACTTCGCTTGCGAAGAGTATTTGACGGTGTGTGTCGTCGCTGAAGGCAATCAGCGATTCTTCAGCCCTCATATCAGCCAAGGTAATGAAGCCTCCCCGTAGATTTTCGTAATCACCAGCGAGAAAGATCCTTGCGCCCTCTTTTCCGCGGGCCTGCAAACTTTCGGTTTCACCCGGTGATAGGGCATTGATGTAGATTTCCAACCTCACGTCAGAAGCGGGAGGACCGAAAGAGAAGCTGGCAATTTCCTGATCATGGTCGCTTCTGATCACGATTGGACCCATGGCAAAACCGGAACCGGCATTTAGTGGTTCGACCTTGAAGATTTGCGTGGCAAGGTTTTTCAGGCGGTTTTCGACTGGCGCTGTCTCGCCGTTGTAAGAGTCGGCGCGGAGCATGACGTAGACGTCATCGATCAGGAGGTGGAGTTCGTGGGTAAAGCTTTGGCGCCGGGTTTTCCTTTTGTAGTACTGAAGTAACTTGTGTTGTGGCGTCAACGATTGAGTCGATACGAGCATAGGCGCATCATTCTGTTCATCGTTTTTGATCGCTGCGATACGGGACTCTCGCTCTTCCAACGCATCATCAAAGCGTTTTTGACTGACGGCTTCGCCTAATACTCGCACCACTACGGTTGAGTGGTCGGCAGTGAGCCCGTAGTACAGTTTCACGTCGGCGCCGTTGTTTTCCCAGCTCTCGGGCAGGTCAATCAAACCTCGGCCCAGCGCCCAGGTGCGCATATTGGTGGTCAGTTCATCCACGGTTCGTTTCTCCTGTTCGCTGGGTTGGTAAAGGCGGCGCAGCCGGAAAACGTCGTGAAAACCAGCCATAAAGAAATGCAGATCAGTCTGTGCATAGGGGCCTCTTGGCTTTCGCTGCAGTTGTGCGGTGAGCTTGCAGGACATTGGCTGAGCGAGTCCGTATACAACCCCGTGTCACCAACCTTCTGGTTTCCATGGTTTGCCATCCGGGCCAGTGGCGAGGAATTCATCGAGTACGCGTTTGCCTTCGGCGATCTCTTCATCGCTTGGGACGATCACGGAGTAAAAGGGATCGGGTTTGGGTGGCGGGACGGCGCCGAAGCGGATTCGTACGGTTTTGAGGATGGCGTCCCAGACGGCCATGGCTTCGTAGTCGGTCAGCGATGGGTTGACTGGAGCCTGCCTCGCTGGGCGTTGCCAGAGAGGAAGGTCGTAGCCCTTGCGGGCGAAGCTGGGGAGGGACCAGCGCACCAGGTCTTTCGGTTTGCCGGGGTCGGAGGGAGTACCTTTCATGCCTCCGGCGGTCATGCGCAAGTGCATGCTTGGCTGGCTGAGAGAGGGGGTGTCTCGATAGTTTTCGCTGATAAAGAGTATTTGACGGTGCGTATCGTCGCTAAAAGCAATCAAGGCTTCTTCTGCTCGCATGTCCGCCAAGGTGATGGAGCGCCCCCGCAGGTTCTCGTAATCGCCAGCGAGGAAAACGCCTGCATCCGCTTTGATGCCAGCCTGCATGTTGTCGGTTTCGCTCGGAGAGAGTGCATTGACATAAACTTCCAGTGAAACGTCGGAAGCTGGAGGGCCGAAATAGAAGGTGGCAATTTCCTGATCGTGATCGCCTCTGATCACGATTGGGCCCATGGCAAAACCGGAACCGGCATTTAGTGGGTTGACTTTGAAGATTTGCGTAGCGAGTTTTGTCAGGCGGGCTTCGACTGGTGCGATCTTGCCGTTATAAGAGTCGGCGCGAAGCATGACGTAGACGTCATCGATCAGGATATGGAGTTCGTGGGTGAAGTTTTCAGGTTGAAATTCGCTTTTGTAGTACTGCAATAGCCTGCTTTGTTGAGTTACAGGCTGAGCCGATACCAGCATAGGCACGTCGAGCTGTTCATGGTTTTTTTTCGCGGCTATTCGGGCGGAACGTTCTTCCAAGGCATCATCAAAGCGTTTTTGACTTACCGCTTCGCCCAACACTCGAACTTCTACGGTTGAGTGGTCGGCAGTGAGCCCGTAGTACAGTTTCACGTCGGCGCCTTTGTTTTCCCAGCTCTCGGGCAGGTCAATCAAACCTCGGCCCAACGCCCAGGTGCGCATATTGGTGGTCAGTTCATCCACGGTTCGTTTCTCCTGTTCGCTGGGTTGGTAAAAGGCGGTGCAGCCGAAAAGCGTCGTGAAAACCAGGCATAAAGAAATACAGATCAGTCTGTGCATAGGGGCCTCTTGGCTTTCGCTGCGATCTTGATCAGCGAGTAAAGAGTGAAGTGCTGGGTTAACGGATTGGAATATGACGCCTCGTGGTCAAACCCTGAGATTTGATCTGTTGTCGCACTTCACCCCACCGTGCATGCAGGGCGGGTGCGCTACCGGAACTGGTTGGAACTGTTCCGTCGCCGATGCCGTCCTGCTTCAGGCAATGCAACTCCCAATGACTGGTTTGAACTTCTTTGATTGGTGCATCGGGGTCGCCGGGTAATGGCTTGATGGGTTGGCTGTGAGCACCGACATAAACCGGGCTACGCCCTTTGTCCCGGACCTGATCCATTTCCAGGTTTGAAACGGTGAAGGCGTCCGGACGATTTCCAGCGGGACCATTCAGCCGACCGCCGGGCTTCATTTGCCAAGTGATGGTTTCGAAACTGCGGTGCTTGTCGTCGTTGCCGTAGTACACGTAGGTGTGGGGATGATAGGAACCGCTGAGACGACTATGAAAGTTTTTCGCTTCAACGATGTTCCCTGCGAAGGTCTCCCAAGTGATGGCATCTCCCCCCTTTGGCGCAAGCCACTCCTCACGCAGCAATCCCCACCAGCGATCCCGACGCAGATAAATTTCTTCGTAAGGATCTGAGATCGGTTGTTTAGGCATTACCGACGCACCGTTATTATCGACCAGTCGCAACCAACCCGGCGCATAGTCCTGAGTGGGCAGAAGCTGCAAGGCCCCCGGTGCTTGCGCAAAAACAGCAGTTATCTCTTTTCCAGTTGGGCCGATAACAGACCCGGCAACGAGGTCTTCGTCACGCATTCCAACTTTGCAGCGGCGGTACGCTACCGGCGCGCCAGTGGCTGGCATCACCCCATGCACAACCCCGGCGATTTTGTCTTTCATGCCAGGCAGTTGCGCACAACGTCTGGCTACCAAGCCGCCCATTGAGTGGGTTACAAGAATGACTTGCTGACAGTTACGACCGTACTGGTGCATCAACTCATTGATGCGCTCTGCCAGCTGTTCTGCCGCGTCGTTATTGGAAGCCAGCCAGTTATAACCACAGGCATGCACCGGCATCCGGTAGTCCGCCCGGGCCAGCAGTTCGTCTGAAAGGATCGAGGGCAACTCGCTTGCCAGTTTGCTACCCAGCCCCGGCATGGAAATGGATAGGCCGGGCTTGAGTTCGGTGATCAGTGTCGGACCAGGCTCGACAGCCTTGGTATGCATATGCTCAGGCTTGGTCTCGAACTGCGGCCATTCATGAGCCAGGAACGCTCCGTTGAGGGCATCTTCCAGCCAGAGTAAAAACGGGTGGTAGCTGGTTTCGCTGACTTCGCCCCAGCCACGCTCCGTGTAACGTTTCGCCAAGGCCTCTTTCTTCCTGCCACCTGTTAATGCCGGCAGTGCAGTGACGGAGACCTGTAGGGACATTTGGGACCGCTCCTTCGTCATCCACCTTTACTCGAGCCGGATGCAGTTTCTTTTGGCGTATGCCCGCTGGCTTTCGAATCCAGGTTTTTGCGAGCCATATATTTTTGCCCATTAATCCCGCATCGAGTCGCCAGACGGGCAGGCTCTCTTTCTCTGCATCATCTGGGGCACCGACTTAAGATTCGACCCCATAATCCCCGGCACAAATATCACCGGCAGCACCCCGTCCGGCGGCAAATAGCAAATCACCGGGTCGGTAATGTGGCTGGGGGTCATGGTCCAGGTATGCGTCGGGTTGCCCCGCGCGTTGTAGGTCATGGGCGCGACACGTGGCGCTGTGGTGTTATCGGTCATCTTGGTTTCCCTCAATCGACATCAAACCCGACCCGCTTTCAATCACCGCACCGCAACTCAGTGTGTCGCCGACCCGGGCGATGGCCTGGCCATTGTGGGGTCATCAGGCGCACCGGTTTTCACCGATGTACGCCCACACAACGGACAATCATGCTCGTGACCGACCAATACGATGGCTGGCATAAAACCTCCTGAAATACGTCAACTAAAGGTTCCGCCGCTACCCACAGCGGCGGAGTCGAGGCGGGTTGTCAGGCCGGTTTGCGCCAGTCATCCGAAGCTTCTGTACCCGCCACCACATGGCTCCAACTGATCTTGCGATACGACAGGCTGGTCTTGATCAACTGGGTGTAGTTGGCGTTGTCCTTGTCCTGGGCATGGGGCAGGACGGTGTGGATTTCAACGACGGTGGCGTCTTCCAGTTTGGTGGTGAAGAAGTGCTCCTGTTTGCCGTCCACCGAGGTACGGAACCATTTCACTTCAACGGTCGGCAGGGCTTCGCCGGTGGCCAGGGCCTGGTAGAGCATCGGCGAGGCCTTGCTCAGGGAACTGGTGAAGATCAACGGTTTGTGTACGCGCTGGCCGGCCGGCTGGCCGCTTTGCGGGTCGGTCGGGGTGGTGATCTGGTGGTCGATTTCCTGTGCGAGGATTTCGTCTTCATGGCCTTCCACATAGACGTTGCCGACCGAGTCGGCAGTGAACGCGCCTTTGGTGATATGGCCCTGGGTTTTGCCGTGGATGCTGATGAACGCAGGTGTAGCCATGACAAGCTCCTTGTCGTGATGATTTGAACAACCGTCGGTGTGACGGTAGGGGTTACTGGCCCGCAAAGGCCAATTCGTCATAGGGCCAAGCGGCTATAGCTTGAGAACCCCATCCAGCGAGATCAGGACTTCCTGGGTGATGGCATGCAGGCGCACCGCATAGAAGGTGTACGCCGCCGCCAGCACCACGACGGCAATCGCCCAGGGCGTCCAGACGGGCCATTGGCGGCTGAGTCGATAATTGCGTGGCGCCACGTGGGTCATTGCGTCCATCACTTGCATGGACGTTTCACCGCGCAGGGGCGCAGCAGCCGGTGCAATTTGGTGATGAGCTTTTGCAGCTCTTCTTCGCCCTTCGCCTGGTTGCCGTATTTGCCCTTGAGCCCCATGCACAGGCACAGGTACATGAACTCCAGGGGGATGCTGGTAGGCCTGGGCGTCGGTAGTCATACGGGCCAGTACGGTAAAAACTTCTCGCCGCCCCACGTCTCCTGGTGGAAGGCGCTGAGCAGGAGCGCTGGCTCCAGGTCGAATATCGGCCCCATTCCGTGCCCATCACGCATTCGTCCATCAGCACGCACAAGCTGTAGGAGTAGGCTTCAGCGTGCCGGTGTCATAGTCCAGTGGGTGGACGCACTCCATGATCTCGGTGATCAGGGTGCAGGCGCACTGGTACAGTTGGGCAACGTCGGCGGGGGCTTCTTTGCGCAGGTCGAGGATCAGGCCGAACAATGGCATGGCGGCGTCGCACAGCGGGTTGTAGATCGGGAAACTCAGCTGGCTGGGCATGTCGAAGTTTTGTCTTTCATTCGTCACTCCTGATGGCCCAGAACTGCAAATCCAGCTCCGGGAAGTCGCCCGCAATGTGGAAGCCGAACCCGGACCCGACACTCAGGCTTTGCCAGTCGGGGTGGTGGCGATCCAGTTGGAAATAACTGAAGCCGGCATGAAACGGCAGGTGCCGGTAGCGCCACCGGCAGCGGCAGCAGCGCAATGCCCGGCAGTTGCAAACTGACCAGCTTGCCGGAGGTTTTCCGTGGAGCTGACCTCGGTCTGTTGCAGGAACTGCTGGCGCAGTTGCTCCGGCGGCATCTTCGCCCGTACCGCCAGGATGAATTCGGCGTTTTCCAGCAGGCGTCGGTCGTGCAGGGCGGCGGCTTGCACGCCGTACTCCTGTTTCACGATCGGCAGCGACACCGCGCGAGGTTGCAGCACCGTGCCCAGAGAACGGCGCAATGTTTCTTCCAGGGTCTTGAAGGATTCACGCAACTGGTCGTGTTGATAAGCCGGGTATTCCTCAGGCAGATGCCGGTCATCGGTAAAGGTCACCAACTCGCCACAGGCCTGGGCGAACGCGACGTACAACCGCTCCGGATGCACATGCCGCTGGCGAGCCAGGGTGCTGGAGACTTGGATCCAAAACAGTTGAGGGTTCTCAGTCGAGAATCATTGATGTGTCAGCCAATATTTTTGCCACATTCCATTTACTCTTTGTCCCACATTGCGTTACCACCCTTTACATTCGAGAAGGCGATGTGATGTGACAGTGTGTGTTGTGTGGAGCAATATGACCAATGTGTGTATGTAATATAATTTCTTGCCCATCGCCATGATATGTGAATAATATGTGGTAATATCAGCCAATATAATAATAATAATAATGTTTCTTGTAGAGAAGAATACAATAATAATAATGTATTCCTGTGTGTGCCGGCTAATCGGTGTTATTGTGTGGTGAGAGTAGGCGCATGTGTGGTGTGTGAGTGGTGGCAGAGGTAATGTGTGTCAGTATCATTCATCAGAAATGTGTGTGTGAGGGGCGTGATGTGGTGGTGTGTGTGTGGTGATGGTGATAATGGTGGTGGTGGGGGTGGCGTGTCGTTGACGGGGCGTTATTGATGATGATGATGGTGATGATGAGAGGCCTCTGTTATTATTATTATTATTATTGTTATTATTATTCTGTCAATATTATTATTGTGTGACCCATTATTCCTGATGATACATTCTGATGATTATTATTGTTTGACTATCAGGAAGATAATTGTGGAAGGAGAAGAGAGGCTCATTCCCATTGTGTGTGACCTATTCTCCCATTGTGTGTGTGTGTCAATATTATTTTTCAGTATTTCTTGTCAATTCCCTATTATTTTTGATGTTATTGTGTTGGAAAGCGGTATTGTCCCATTCGAGGGAAGAGCCCCCAGTGGCATTGTTCCCAGTTTGGCCTCTCTCCCATCCCCTACTTTCTCATTTGTTGACCCTCCTATTGTTGATGACCACATTGTTGATATTATTTTATTATTTATTATTTCATTTATTGTATTAATGACTATTAATTATTATTATTATTAAACCAATTGACCCCATTCCGTCAATTCATTTTTGTTGTGTGTGTCCCCAGTGAGGAAGAAGTATTAATATTTTTATTGTGTATTTCTTTATTATTTTTGTGTGTGTGTGACATGTGTATTATTATTATTATTATTGTCAAGTATTCGTGTTATTGTATTGTTAATGGTGATATTATTATTATTGTGTGTATTATTGGAAGGCAGTGCGACGAGCCCAGCCTTTATCCAGCCCAGCTAATGTAGCCTATTATTAATAATATTCCATGACAATAATATTAATAACCTGTGTGTAATAACTAATATAACTAATAATAACAATATGTATATGTAATCCACCTTCTAGAGTCT